TGGAGCTTGAGATGCTTAAGGTGAAATTCAAAACATAAGCAAGACCCAGGCAGCAGGCCTGGTGGGGAGTGGGTGGCTGAAGTCAAGTGGGGATAAAGGTATCTAAAGTTAGGAAGGCCCGGGAATCAGACGCTGGAGCTTCTGGATGGATGATCCACACAGGTATTGATAGTGCCAAGAATTAAGGCAATAGTGGTGCCTGGCTGGCTCAGTTGTTAGAGCCCACGACTCTTAATCTTGGGGTTGTGGGCTTGAGCCCCACATTGGTCATGGAGTCTACTTTAAAAAATAATAAAATTTGGAAAAAAAAAGAATAAAGGCAATAGATGGCGAGGGTCAGGGAGTGGGGATGGAGAGAGGGACCCTGTAAGCCAAACTACCAACTCTTCAGTAAATGACAGGGATGAAGCACAAGAGGGGAGGATGGGTAATCCTTCCTTTCCTTCTCCTTTAAACCCAACTGATTATAAGGTCTTTAAGTGTGGTAGCCCTGGTGGTGCAGTGGTTTAGCGCCGCCTGCAGCCCAGGGCCTGTCTTGGGGACACTGGATCAAGTCCCATGTTGGGCTCTCTGCATGGAGCCTGCTTTTCCCTCTGCCTCTCTGTTTCTATGAGTAAATAAATAAAATCTTTTTTTTAAAAAAAATAAGGTCTTTAAGTGTTTCCAAGTCTTATCCCTACTGTGCCAGCCCAAGCACTCATTTCTCCTCTGTGCTAGCTAGGGCAGCAGCTTCTAGACCAGGCCTCTGGTCTACTTCTTACAACTTTCCACATTAGCCATTCCTTTGAATCATCTAGGGGAGCTTTTCAAGCTCTTGAGTCTAGGCCACATGACAATTCAATGAAATAAAAGCCCCTGGGTGGGTTCCAGGCATTAGTATTTTTCAAGGCTCCTCCAATTCCTCCAACACACAGCCACGGTTGGGACCACCACTCAACATTTCACGATGTGGCCCCTTATCATCACCAAAGGCAGTTGGAGCAGATCCCTCCTATTCACTCAGCGGATCGAATGTGTTAAGCCCCTTTGTTCCAGGGACTGGGAATGGAAAAATGAAAAGCACATGGTTGCCTCTCCTCCAGACACCCACCTGGGGATATAAGCACACACACACTGCTGCAGTAGAGACTCGTGGGTGCCTCGGGGCAGGCAGGCTCCAGGGCGTCCAGGCAACTCTGAATACAGACCTGGGATAGGCAAGGCTCCTGGGGAAGATGTAATACAGCATCTTCATCTCCTTTGCACTAAGCACCACATAGCCAGCCAAGTGTACTTCCCTGATTTTGCTTGTATTTTGAACTGTTTTAGAGATCTCAAACTCTAAAATCTGTCAAAACTCCATGTCTTCAAAATAAAACCTAAACTTCTTGGAATGAAATATAAGGCCCTTTGTGATATGGCTCCTTGTCTACCTTTCTAGTTTGAACTTTTCCTGCTTCCCCCTGGGCCCTGCAATCCAGCCTCACAGGAGACTTACAGCCTCCTAAGAGCAGTGTACCCCCTCACACTTCTGAATTTTTGCATATACTTCTTTTTTAATCTGGAAGATGCTTCCAGAACAAGCATGGAGGAGCACATTCTGGCTGGAAGAAATAGTATGAGCGAGCATCTGATAATGACAAGGAGCACCTTGCCCAATCCTGCTGGTGGATCAGGCCGGTGGATCACAGGCAGTTGGTCTCCATTGGCATCAGAGTCCCTGGGAAAACTTATTAAACCACAGATGCCTGCCCCCTTGCCCACCCTGCCCACTGCGTGGTGGGGCTGAGGGGGTGCCCAGGGTCTCCATCTCTAAGAGGCTCCTAGGGGATGCAGCTGCTGCTGCTCCTGGAGCAGATTTGGTGTACCAGCACAAAGGAAAGTGTGGTCTTTGACCAAAAATGGAGGTATCAGGATAGGACTTCGAGCAGGGATATGACTTTCGTTTGTGGTTCAACAAATATCGATTCATTGTGTACCTACTATGTTTCAGACTCTGGAAATACCAAGAATAAGGATAACCTAGTTCCTGGTCTCCAGAGGTTTTTATCCAGAAAACTGCCGACGGTCCTAATACAGGGTGGTGAATCTCAGAGGGAGGTGTGTGGAGGCTGTGATGTGATCACAAGGGGGAGCCACACAGACGGGGTGACACCTGAGCCAGGCGTGGCTTCCTGAGAACCCACAGCTGTGTGGCAGACCTGAGGGTGGGGCATGGGCAAGTGGCTGTGCAGCTGTGTCGCAGGGTGCAGAGACAGAAGGTAGTTTTCGTTTCTTCCCCATTCTACTAGCTCCACCACCACACAGCAGGTCTCTGCACCAAGGTGCTACCTGGTCAGGTCTTAGTTTCCTCACATGGTGCGAAGCAAACTCAGCAGCTCATTACTCTCAAACCTGCAACAACCTACAGGGGCTGTCTCCCCTATAGTGTGTTCTAACTCACCATCCAGTGCCATTCCTTAAGCCTCATGCTCCATTCGCATTTGTGGAAAATGCTGATTGTAAATGATGATGCTTTTTATTTTTATTTTTTAGATGTTTATTTTTTTTATTTATCTGAGAGAGAGTGAGAGAGCATGAGAAGGGAGGAGAGGTAGAAGGAGAGGGAGAAGTAACCTCCCTGCTGAGCAGGGAGTCTGACTCTCCGCTATATCCCCAGGACTCTGGGATCATGACCTGAGCCGAACGTAGACACTTAACCTACTGAGCCACCCAGGTGTCCTGATGATGCCTTTTAAAAACCAAAAGAGTAGTACCTAGCTTCCTAGTGCCGAGCACGTAGGAAGTGTTCCATACCGGCCAGATCATAATTGTGGGCCATGGTAGCAGAGGTGTGAGGGGGAATCATGCAAACCCCACCGTCCAGGCCTATATGGCTAGCTGAGGTCTGTCAGCAGCTTAGCCCTTGATAAGGAAAGGCCCTCCCATAGGAAAGGACACCCCCACACACACACCCCTGCTTCAGCAGTTGCACCATGGGCCTTATCAGCCAGGTGGCTCTTCCATCTGCATTGCTCTGAGGACTCTCTACCTAACCCCCTCTAGAAAGCACAGAGCCTGTCTTGCTTTTCAGGTTGCCAAGGCAAGGCCTGGGAATGGCCAGTGCTTGTTTTCAGCTCCATCCCTTAATGTGTGAACACCAAGAGAGCTTTTATACCTCCTTGAATCCCAGTTTGCTCATCTATAAAACAGCTATAGTAACACCAACTTTAAAAGATTACTATAAGGTTAAAGCCATAGGCAGTAAAGGTCAATGTGAGTAGATGGCAGAGCCATCTTCTGGCTGGTTCTGTGTGCTCTTTCCACTTCACTAGCTCATTGTACAAACAGGCTCTGGACGCCCACTCAGTGTCAGGTGCTGTGCTAAGTGCTGGGATTCAGTAGCAGGCTAGAGGTCCTCTGCCCTCACCCCCCATCTCATTCTGCACAGCTTTGTCTTCCTTACAAATCAAACACCTGGGGCAGCCTGGGTGGCTCAGCAGTTTAGCACTGCCTTTGGCCCAGGGCGTGATCCTGGAGACCCCGGATCCAGTCCCATGTCAGGCTCCCTGCACGGAGCCTGCTTCTCCCTCTGCCTGTGCCTCTGCCTCTCTCTCTCTCTCTCTGTGTGTGTGTGTGTGTCTCATGAATAAATTAAAAAAACAAAACATAAAACATAACAAGCACCTGCTTCGTTTTTTTTTTATAAATGTATTTTTTATTGGTGTTCAATTTGCCAACATATAGAATAACACCCAGTGCTCATCCAATCAAGTGCCCCCTCAGTGCCCGTCACCCAGTCACCCCCACCCCCCACCCACCTTCCCTTCCTCCACCCCTAGTTCGTTTCCCAGAGTTAGGAGTCTCTCATGTTCTGTCTCCCTTTCTGATATTTCCCACTCATTTTTTCTCCTTTCCCCTTTATTCCTTTCACTGTTTTTTATATTCCCCAAATGAATGAGACCATATAGTGTTTGTCCTTCTCCAATTGACTTATTTCACTCAGCATAATACCCTCCAGTTCCATCCACGTCAAAGCAAATGCACCTGCTTCTTTGTAGCTGACTCTGGTTGTGGCAGTGTGGAAAAAAATCTGAATTTTCCCTGGTGCAAAAGGAAAAAAACCCTCTTCTTTCCCTTCTTGAAGAGCATTTACTCTAGAAAACTTGTAAGTTCTTTGTCCTTTTAAGATGTGTGTGAATATTTTTGAAAAGCTTTGTAGGCCTTTTGCCAGTTTTAATCCAGCAACGTTTTTGCTCAAGGTCCTGGGAGCCATGTCTTTGAAATGTTAGCTCAATTTCCAGGAGCACCTGGCTTTAAATCTACCTTCCATGGTAACGCCATGAGATTTTTATTGCTCCTTTGGATAAAGATAATTAGCAAACAAAAACAGCCACTCTAATTACCAGGAAAATTTAGGGTGAATTCTGTGTGACAAAAGCTGCTGTCGAGTCCTCTCACGTGAGAACATGATGTCGGTGATTTCTTGCTGTCTTTGCAGTCTCTGTAGGGGACCGCCTGGGATGCGCATTACATTCTGGTTTAATGCTGACTCAATACTAAGACTCTTTTCGGTCTCTTCCATTCCCTTGGAGAGTTTTTTGGGGGGCTGGCAGGAGATTTCTGTTTTTCTTTATATTTTCCAACAGTAGAAAGCAGCCTGGCTGGAAAAAGCTTTGGGCGAATTTGGACAAACTGACCAATGAGAATGAGCCCCTCACCTCCCATCCCTGCATTTGCAGGGAGCGCTATCCGCGCACCACCGTGCCGCAGCGAAGGGACCCCATCCGCGGCCACCGCCGAGGCCTGCATCACTATTTTTAGCCGCCACCACCCTGGTGGCCCAGGGACAGGCAAGCGGGCGGTGCTCGAGGGCGCCGGGCCCCGCCGGGCCCCGCCGAGCCCCGCCGAGCCCCGCCGAGCCCCGCCGAGCCCCGCCGAGCCCCGCCGGCCCCGCCCCCGCCGCGCGCGGCCCCGCCCCCAGGCGCCGGGAGGGAGGAGCCGGGCGCGCAGAGTCGGGAGCGCGCAGCCGGAGACGGGAGCCCGCGCCCGGTGCCGGCGGCCGGCGGCGATGAAGATCTGGAGCTCGGAGCACGTGTTCGGGTGAGGTCGGGCTGCGGGCCACGGTGGGGTCCGGACCTGCGCCTCCCCCCGCCCGCGAGCCGCGGGGGGCGGCCGAGGAGAGGCTGGACCCCAGACCCGGCCCTCGCCGAGCCCGCCCAGCCCCGCGCTGGCCGCTCGCAGACCGCGCGCGGCCCGAGCATCCTCCACAGAGGGGGCTCTGACCTCCCAGGGCGTCGTCGGGTAGAGGACCGCCGAGCCGGGCGGTCTGAGTGACGGAGGGGCTGCCAGGCACCGAGGCAGGGGTGGGACCGTGGAAGCCCGGGGCGGGGGCGGGGCGGCCTTCCCCGGGGGCCGCGGAGGGCGAGGCGCGGGGAAGGACCTCAGCCAGCCGGTGGGTGGGGTGCGGCCGGGACCGGCGAGTGCCTTCCGCGGCCGGGCGCCCTAGGGTGCACGGAGGCCCGGGGAGGGGGGGCCGGCGGGGGGCTCCCCCTCCCGCGCCCCGGAGCAGGCGGGATCGCGCGGGCTCGCCGCGCACCTTGGGGCAGGGCCGGGCGTCGCCCGGAGAACCGAGGCCTGCAGAGCGGTCCTCCGCCGAGATCGTGCAGTGCAGATCGTGCAGTGCGGCCGAACGCAGACGGGGACTGTGCGCTGGGAGGAAGCCAGATGTGGACGAGGCTTGTGGGGGACTTTCACCCCGAATGCACTTGTGGGCGTGGAAGGCCTCCAAGCCAAGCCAGCATGGAGAACAGAACTGTTTAAGAGTACCCTCATGGCCTAAACGGTGTCTTCTCCTGAGTCGCTTGATACGTGACACGGTGAAATCATCCTTTAATATTTTTTAAAGGAACAAAGATTTTTAAAGATTCCTTGGCCCCACTTAGAGAAGCATTTCGTTTTTGCAAAAGAAAATGCTGCATGAAATGGAATTGTCATCCTTTGGCCTATTTATGTAAAATTATTATAATAAAAATTTATCAAGTGGTTTAAAACCTCTGAAATTATTTTTAATGAGATCTTTAGACTTTATGGGATTCAGTTTTAGTGTTGATTTTTGCACAGTCTGCAGCCTTTCTCGACTGGGATTCCTTGAGAGATCCAGTGAAAGCCCCAGTGAGAATGACTCCAGAGACTCTTTGCTCAATTTGGGACATAACTGGCACCATCAGGATGCAGAGGGGAGAGATTAAGTCATTGCAAACGGTGTGCCCAGGCAGTGGGGCTCAGTTTTCTCATTGAACACCTGAGAAGGACTGCCCTAGAAGTTCATGAAATTGAAATGTTGATTAACAAGCAGCACTATTGATAAAATTCACCCCCTTAAAGTGTACAATTCAATGATTCTTAGCCCATTTACAGACTTGAACAACCATCACCATAGTTGTTTTAGAATGTTTCTGTCATCCTACAAAGATTCCTCATTCCCATTCACAGGTACCCACTACTGGATCCCAGCTCCAGGCAACCACTGATCTGCTATTTCTATAGCTTTGCCTCTTCCAGACATTTCTTATAAATGTCATCATACAGTATAGGGTCATTTGTGCCTGCCTTCTTTTACTTGGAACATATTTTTTTGAGGTTCCTGGTATGGTAGCATGTATCAGTCCTTTATTCCTTACCTCATTCATTTTGTGTCCCTGATACTCTCTACTGGTGCCTGGCACACGCATGCTCAGTGAGAGGCTGAGGAATCTCAAGGAAACCAGGTGCCCTTCCAGAATGAGGGAGGCTATCCACCCACAGGATTCCAAGCTGCTGTGGACTAGGTGCTGATCCTCTGCTGGTGATTTTTGAGTTTAAAATTGGCAAATGTGGAATATGGAATACAACTGGCTAAGGATGATGTTTGGTAGCCCCTGTGGCAGACAGGTGGCAAATGACAGGATACTTGTGATGGCAGACCATCATCTGTAGGACAGTACAAAATTGGAAGCCTGGGTTTCCAGCTAGGCTTATTAAGGAGTTTCCCTTTGCTTAATCCCTTAAAATGACTGATTTCTTTTTCCTTTGGGGATTACAAACCTTTCTTCTTCTTTCTTTTTCTTCTTCTTTCTATACTTGTTTCCTTTTTATATATTGCTGTCAGGTGAATTTTGATAGGAAGTTAATAAATTTACTCTTAAAAGGCAAGAAATAATCAAGCACAAAAAATGTGGGGTTTATCAGGTTTTCCTCTTGTGTCCACATTCTGAAGAAACCCCAGGGCCCAGGGGCACCTGGGTAGTGCAGTCAGCTAAGCTGATTTCAGCTCGGGTCGTGATCTCAGGATCATGAGATCAAGCCCCACATCTGGCTCTATGCTTAGTGCAGAGTCTGCTTGGAAGTCTCTCTCCTTCTCCCTCTCATTCTCTCTCTCTCTCTCTCTCAAATAAATAAATAAATCTTAAAAAAAGAAACAAAGAAACAAACAAACAAACCCCAGGGCCTAGAGATGGGGAATAGTAGAGAGTAGCAGAGAACCATATGACACACTTATGGAAATGGAGAGCCCTTTGGGAAAGCCATCAGAATCAGCATGTGTGTTACCTGGAAGGGGTTCAGTATAGTTTAAATAGTAATAAAAGACACAGGACTGAAATACAAACGTATAAAAAGGGGCATTAAAAATTAACATGTTTATAAATTTCATCCTCACAGCATTGACCGAGGTTTCATATAGGCCCAGAACAGAATCTTTAGTAATAGCCAACACAAGTAGATTGCTGGCAGCATCAAGGTCATACACTCCTTGGACTCCAGCAGCTGCCAGAAAAGGTATCTAGCAGGCAGTAACCATCTCAGGGGAGTCCGGAGCTGTGGAGGGATGAGGCCCTACAGCAGGCTTGCTTTCCAGCCAGGAGCATGGAGAAGCACCCCCCCCCCCTTTTCTCTTAAGTAAGAGAAATTGAACATTACAGTGCTGTTCCTTTCTCCCCACAGGCAGACAAGATTTTGAATTTGGTGGGTGTCAACCTTCTGAAGGTCTGTGTTGCAAAGGTCTGTTTGACTACATTGATGTGTGTGTGTGCATGTTTATCCATAAGCAATACACAATGTCACTTGTCTTAAAATGGAAATCAGTGCATCACATGGCACAGATCTTTTGACCATTTCCCTTTCTTCATGACACTGTGTTTTTGAAGTGTGTGTGTGTGTCTCATAGCTGAGTGATATGCCGTTGTATGAATATGTCACAATTTATCCTTTCTCTTATTTGAAGGGACATTACATTTTCCCCTTTATTCCATATCATACTGCAGTGACCACCCCTGTGTGTATTTCCGGTCCGTTAATTAAGGGCCCACTTAGGCCAGCGATTCTCAAACTCTTCAGCCTCAGGACCTCTTTACACTCTTGGAAAACATTGGGTACCCCAGACAGTTTTTATGTGGGTGTTATCTACCAATACATACCATACTAGAACTTAAAATTGATGAATTCAAAAATATTTACCATTCCATTAAAATCAATAATGATAAACCCACTTCATTAATATGAGCAACATTTAAAAAATTTTATTTATTTATTCATGAGAGACACAGAGAGAGAGACAAAGAGACAGGCAGAGGGAGAAGCAGGCTCCCTGCAGGGGAGCCTGATGCCGAACTTGATTCCAGGACCCTGGGATCACATCCTGAGCCAAAGGCAGACATTCAACCACTGAGCCACCCAGGTGCCCCTAAGCAACATTTTTATTAAAAAACAGACCTGTATTGTCCAAAAGCACAAAAATTAGTAAGAAGAGTGTCACTGTTTGTTTTTTTGTTTTTTTGTTTGTTTGTTTGTTTTTGCTAATTTCTGGTGTAATAGATGATAGCTTGATACTCTGCTTCAGCACGCAGTGTTTTGTAGTGTGTTGTTTTGGTTCAAATAGGCGAATAAAACCCAGCCTTACACACTTTATGAATAAAACCCATGTGGTATTTTTTTTTTAAAGATTTTATTTATTTATTCATGATAGTCACACAGAGAGAGACAGAGAGGCAGAGACACAGGCAGAGGGAGAAGCAGGCTCCATGCACCGGGAGCCTGACGTGGGATTCGATCCCGGGTCTCCAGGATCGCGCCCCGGGCCAAAGGCAGGCGCCAAACCGCTGCGCCACCCAGGGATCCCCCCATGTGGTATTTTAATAGTCTTTTAAAGTGATTGTGGCCACTTTAAGTAATTTGCTACTACAAGAAGACAAGCGGTAGTTTCTGAAGTCTGTCACCGTGAAAATCTGAAACCATAATGACCAGAGTAATTGGCCTGCCTTATCCATGAGTGGTCTTTCACTCATGTATGATTTTGTGGCATCTTGCACCAGTCACTTGGAACATGTGGGTTCATCAGGTTTACAGTATAGGGCAGTCATCAGGCTCATGGTAGAGGATACAAGTTTTCTAAAATTCCGGTTTGCATTCAAAAGCTCAAATTTTATGTTTGGCTGCAAACATAGGCAGTTGTTCTTGAAGTGATAGGCTTTTATTAATTTTTGAGAAAATGTCTACCAAATACCTAAGTCTGAATAACCAGTGTCCACCCATCTGTCGTTTCATGTGGAGGAGGTGGGTGGGAAAAGCAGCCCCTGGCTGGGCCCCCCACCTGACAGCTGCGCAGCGCCTCCCCAGCCACTGACGAACTCTGAGTGTAGCTGGTCTGCCTCCTGCGCAGCCTGTCCTCTTGCTCAGAACATTAATAGTGGGGTACTTAGAGGTCTAACGTAAAATCAATCATCTTACTATCTTAATATCATGATGGATATTTTTAGGAGATGTGTTATTTTCCTGCGTGAACCACAGTGAGCACTGACCCCAGGTGTGGCTTGTGTGGCTTGGGTTCACAGTCTTAACTCATGGGGCGAGGCCAGCGGCTTTACCCTCTGCCACTTTTGGAGCATCCGGGTAAAGGTCAATTTGGTGAAAAAGGCAAATCATGTCTCAGTAGCCCTGAGACAGCTTCAGCCTGGAAGACCTCTGCAAAGGGCCTGGAACTGCCGGGTGTGGCCTCCAGTTGCTTTGGGTGGGTGTAGGGGCGTGCTGTCTTGCTTGTGGCAGCCTTCATATATATATATTTTTAAAGCTTGTTATTATGGACATCTTAAAAATATGCAAAAATAGAAAGCTGAGAATAGCAAGTGCCCACTGCCATCTTCCTCGTTGGCAGTCACCCTCTCACAGCCTGGCCGGCTTCACGTGTCCCTACCCACTGCTCCTTCCTCTGGGGATATTTTAGGCAAATCCCAGGCATCCTATCATTTCCTTCCCCTTCATCTCTTTGACACCCTGGCTGTGCATAGTCAGATTCCATTCCCCAGTGTGCCAGGTGGACTGAGGGGACCACCTCTTTGGCTGCCGGGCCAGGCGCTGCAGGGGTGATGTCTGATGTTTCTGTAGCCACACTGCGCTCCAGGGCTGCCACCTCCCGGGGACGGGTTCACACTCCACTGTGGTCACTCTGAGCCACAGCCACTGCCAGGACAGCTCCTCCAAGGATGAACTTCAGCCGATTTCTGGCCTGCCTAACCCTGATAACCTGCTCACACATCTGAAAAAGAGCTAGAGGTGTTTTTTGTTTGCTTTGTTGTTGTTGTTGTTGTTGTTTTAAAGAGCTAGAGTTTTGACCTTGGAGGAACTCTGGGCAGCAACTCTGTGGAGGATGGGGAGGCCTGGGTGCTGCATTTGCCACTCTTTATTTGATTATATGTCCCCCCCCCCCCAATCCTCCAAAACCTCTGTTTCCTACTCTGGAAAATGGAGATGCTAATTTCAGCTGGGTCCTCCTCCTGGTGGTACCTGCCAAGGCTCTGTAGCCTGGGATGGGCCTTCAGAATCCCAGCAGGAATAATAAGAATTACAGTCGCTGCGATATCCTGATGGCTCACGTGTGTCAGGCACTCTTCTGAAGGAGTGAGAACAGGAAACATTTACTGGAGGCTGTTATGCCAGCACAGCTATAAATGCTTTCCACAGATTAACCCATTTAACCTTCAGGACAATGTATGGGATGGGGGCCGGGATGACCATCCCCCAACACAGACAGTGAAAGCTCAGAGAAGTTGAGGAACCTGCTCACAGTCACACAGCCAGGGAGTGCTTGGGCTGAATTTGAACCCCATGCTTGGAGTCACTTCAGTGCAGCTCTTCACAGAGGTGAGAACACAAGCCCTGACACCCAGGTGCCAGCCTTCTCAGTGTCTCTCGGGGCTTGGGTTGATTTACCACCCTTGGCTCAGCCTCCCGTTTTCTCCAACGCTTGATATTGCCAGACTTTGCTGTTTCTGCCAATCGAATGAACGTCAGGCTATCTCCTTTAACCAGGAAGTGTGTGATACCGACTTGCTGTACTTAATTAACCCTTATAATTTAACAAAATGTTATTTCCTGCATCTGTTGATGTATATATTAACTCACTTGGTCCTCCTCCTATAATCAGTAGAATTATTTATTATGTGAGTGTTTTAAGCGGCTTGTATTTAGTTTAAATCATCAACTGGAAAGATGCAAGATTTCTTTCTTTTTTTAATATACAAGATTTCTCTATAAAAGAAATCTTTTTACTAATCTAATTACTGTGTAGGATACGATTACTACAAATATGTCAACTTCTTGATAGTTTTAAGTAATTTTGGGAAGCAAAGGGTATTCTTAGTGATTTTTAAGGGAACAACTCTTAGGACCTTGGCTTGCAGTGCTCACCCAGTATTTCATAGAAAGCCCCCATGTGACTCGATCCCTTGCTGCCCACACGTGTCCAGGTTCTCCCTCCTTCCCTCACCTTGGATCGACCATGTCCCTAACAGCTCTTCCTCAGAGAAGAAGCTCAGCTCCCTGGGTCATCCACGGTGATCGGGTGTAACTACGTCTCTGCTTCTTCATTGCTTTATGTTAAAGCTGGTGGATCCATTAACTCAGTGACATGACTCCATGGTTTGAAAAAGCATTTCTTTGCCGAAAAGAGGATATTTCGGACTAGTTCTGACGATTTAGAGGCCATGGAACATAATGGAAAGAACAGAGGGCAGAGGCTAGGGGACCCGGTTCTAGTGTGGGCCCTGCTGCAAACTTTATGACTCAGGAGAGAGTTTTATGAGGATAAAGTAAATTAATGGTTGGTAACTGGTATTTTAAAGGGATGTCAAATATGGAACAGAAATGTTCAATTTGTTGGTAATCTTTGATATTTGACATGGTAGTTCCATTTCTAGGAATTAATCTTAAGGAAAAATTTGATACATTAAAGATCAGTGTACATAGATGTTTGCTACTGTCTTTATTTTACAGAGCAAAATTAGAAGCAATCTAAATAACCTACCATAGGGAACTGGTTACATACAAGTATCTATAGGATGACCTATTGTGTAGCTCTTTATAATCAGATTTCTGAAAATAGATTCATGATATAGGAAGATGTTCATCAGTTAAATATAAAAAGCAGATGGTAAATCTGAGTATGGTTGGAGCATGATCCCAGTTTAGTTTTCGTAAGGCGTATGTGTGTGTGTGCACACGCACACACATATGCTTGTTCTAGGTCTTGACTCTGAGCTGTTCTATACATGCCGTTTAAACTTGTCTGCGTACATCTGCAAAAACAATGGTGTTGTTGACATACTCATCTTCGCCCGGGGCTCAGATGCTTCCTGGGAGCACACACAGCTCGAGGAAGGAGGAATTAGGGAAATAAGCACTTACTGGGGAGGCCCGCCCTGCATACCTGAAGGTAGCACCTCTGACTCCCTCTGGGCAGCTGCAAGGCTTGGAGCCTAACTAAGCAAGCACTGAAGGAGCACTGCCCCAGTAGTGGGGCACTGTGAATATGGCTCTCCCATAGCAGGAAACAAAACAGGGACAAACATGACCACTCCCCACTGCAGTGGCTTAGGGCCAGAGAAAAAGTGGTGGCAAGGGAAGCTTCAGGGAGAGCTGGGGTCCCCTTCGGAGATTCCCACAAGCTGGGCTCATCTTTGGATAGTGGATGGTGGGTGCTTTTGTATTTCATACTTTATTTTTCAGTATCTTGGATACTTTTTATGATCAGAAAAAATATGTTGGCCACTTCACACCATACACACATCACATGCGACTTAGAAATTGGGGACAAAGTACAATTGACCCTTGAATAATGTGGGGGGTCTGGGGTGCTGCCCCCCTACACAGCTGAAAATTGTGTGTAACTTTTAAGAAAAATCCCTTCTTTTTTAAGATTTTATTTATTTATTCATAGACACAGAGACACAGGCAGAGACACAGGCAGAGGGAGAAGCAGGCTCCATGCAGGGAGCCCGAGGTGGGACTCGATCCTGGGGTCTCCAGGATCACTCCCCAGGCTGCAGGCGGCGCCAAACCGCTGCGCCACCGGGGCTGTCCTGAAAAATCCCCTTTCAATATAAGGCCCAACTACCCACGCAAAAACCTGGGCATCATTCTTGAATCCTCCTATCTCCTTATTTTCAAGATTAATACATAATTTATCATCCAAATGGGATGCTTCTGAAAGTAAAAGGTGATGCTCTTAACATGTGCAATAAGACAAAACACAAAAACTGGAACCGTCCTGGGCAAACTGGAATGCACAGTCACTTTACCTATATTTCTCTTACAATTCATTACAAAGTACTACTACTTCCTAAATATCTGTTATTGTTAAAGTATAGTTGACACACAGTGTTACATTAGTTTTAGGTGCAGCAGCAGTGGTTCAGTATCTCCATATGTTATGCCGTGTTCACTACAGGATCCAGGATCCAGGATCCGGATGCCTCAGGTAGATTAGTTTGAATATACCTTTAATTAAAAGCAGAAGGAAAAAGTTTTGATGAGAGCATTAACATCGATTTTCCTTTCAGTCTGTGAGCCACATCTCTGGCTCCCTGGTGCCACTCTGGCACACTTCACAAATGCAGGGATTGCCTGCTTATTCTGGGTGATGATATTTTTCCTCTAGCCACCCTTGGGACACCGTCATCAAAGCTGCCATGAGGAAGTACCCGAATCCAATGAACCCCTGTGTCGTGGGAGTGGACGTGCTGGAGCGCAGTGTGGACGGCCGGGGCCGGCTGCACAGCCACCGCCTCCTCAGCACTGAGTGGGGGCTGCCCGGCTTCGTGAAAGCGGTAAGCCTACAGCTGCTTGGCCTGTGGCACCCCCACCTGCCCGGGCCTACGGTGGCCCACTTACCCATACGCCCTGGCTACACCCGCATCATTCTGCTGCACCCTCACCGCCGCTGCCCAGCCATCTGCAGGGGGTGACAGCCTTCCCCTAGGGAACCCACTCAGGACTGCAGGGAGGCCTGCGACATGGCCAGTTTCTCTCCGTAAACTTCATTTGGTTTCCTGCCTGTGTGGTCCTGACATCTCCCCACCCTCAGCCCCGGCCCCACCGGCACAGAACCTGCCCTGCAGCACCTCCCTGTCCCATGTCCCCTGGGGCTGCCCTAGCAGATACCACAGACTCGAGCCTTCAGTAGATGTTTGCTTCCTCATGGCTCTGGAAGCTGAGAATCAAGGCCCTCCAGGCTGATTTCCCCAGGGCTGTAGGGAAGGGTCAGCCACCTCTGTCCTTGGCTGGCCGGCCGGCCCCCATCCTCCTGCTGCCTCTGCAGGTGGTGGTCCCTGGGCCTCACACAGCCCTGGGGTCCCCTTCCCGATGTCCTCATCTCTCCTCCATATAAGGACGTGGCTCAGACCAGCTGAGGGCCCACCCTCAGGACCCCCATTTAAACTGCATTACCCCTTGAAAGGCCCTGTTTCCAAGTACAGTCACATTCTGAGGGGCTGGAGTGCAGGACGTCAACAGACAAACTTTGAGGGACACATTCAGTTGATGACAAGTCTCTGAGGCAGAGCCATCAGCGAGGTCATGAAAGGTGTAAATCTGAGCACGACTTTCTCCTGCTCATCCGGACCCCTGTTCTCAACACACGGTCTAGGCCCTGACATGGCCTGACACCCCAGTGAGGCCGCCTTCTCCCTCTCTTGCCATGCTGGGCTCTTGCTGTACCGGCCCAGGAGCCCATCTGCAGCTGACCCCTGGCTCTGCTGACCCCGCTGACCCTGCGTGCTGCCTCTTCCTCCAGCCCTGCCACCCGCAGGGGGCCTGCCCCCTCGCTGGTTTCTTTTTGCTGAGGTGTTGATTGTTGTGTCACACACGTCTCCCTGAATGCATTCGCTGGAGGTGGCCCCCCTGCGGGGATAGAGACCCCCTGAGGAGCTGTACGGGAGGGGGGGCGGGGGGGCTGCCTAGCTGCATCCCCACGTGCACCGCTTAATCAGTAAATGAAATGGCATTTTCTGTTTGATGCTACAGTGCCATTCTTGACATGTTACGATGACAGTTTTGCTTTGTTTTTTTTAGATTTTGGGAACCAGTAGGACTTTGACATACATCAAAGAACATTCTGTGGTGGATCCAGTAGAAAAGAAAATGGAACTGTGTTCCACCAATGTAAGCAATGGCCTGAGTGAGAAGGGTGCTTGGTATTTCCTGGTGATGGTGGGGAATGTTTTCATTTCATTTTATTTCCAGCTCACCTTTGGTCTGAGTGATCTTTTATTTCTAATAGAAAGGCTGAATTTATTCAGCAGTATGTTATTGTTTTATTCCAGTGAAATGTACAGAAAAATGCACATAATTGTCATAAAATGAACAAATGAACGTACCTCTATAAGCAGCAGACAGATCAGAGACAGAATGTGACCATCCCTCAGGAGCCCCCCTTATGCTCCTTCCTGGGGGGCGCTCCCATCTTGCCCCCAAAATAACCACTCTCCTGACTTCCAATTGCAGATGTGATTTTAGCAATAATTTTAAAAGCACATTTCCACTTCACTCCTCTCTGGAAAAAATTTATACTGGCTCACTGCATATTCAAAAAAATATGTTGGGGAAAATGCCTGGGCTAGAAACATGGTTTATTTTTATAAAATCATATTCTGTAAAAACGCTTAGCAGCAGCTTTGTGCTCATTCACCTAGATGTCAACCCAGAAGTTTTACGCTTTTGTATGAGGGCTGATGGTCTGGCAGTTTGGAAGTGCCTCGAAGGCCAGGCCAGACAGAGGGGTGGGTGTGGAGAAGAAGTGACCGTGATGGGAAGGGGCAGCCAGGACTAGGTTCCTCTGAGACCTGACGTGGTGCCCACCCCCCACCCCCATTCTGGCTTCAGTGAGGGCTGATTCTGGGATGGAAGTGTCCAGGCAGGTGGTTCAGGAAGAAATGCCAGAGAAATAGAACCTAAAGCCATTTTTTGTTTTAAGATCACACTCACAAACGTGGTGTCGGTGAACGAGAGGCTGGTGTACACACCCCACCCGGAGGACCCTGGAATGTAAGCAGTTGCGCCCTGGGACTGTGGCGGTGACTTCCCGGGTCAGGGCCCCCCGCATCGGGGGTCCTCAGCCCCTTTGCCCCCTGCTCCTCCGCAGGACGGTGCTCACCCAAGAAGCCATCATCACCGTGAAGGGGATCAGCCTCGGCAGCTACCTGGAGAGTCTGATGGCCAGCACCATCTCCTCCAACGCCAAGAAGGTACGGCTCGTCCCGGCCCCGTGTGCCGGGGGGGCAGGGGACCCGACTGAGGGGTGAAGTGGCCCGTCCCGAAAGTCCTACCAAGGGCTGCAAGCTGGCGATGGCCCAGCACCTTCCACTGGCCGCCGGGAAGGCCAGGCGGGGGCGCGTGGAGGGACCCCGGCGAGGCCGAGCCGCGCCTTGAAGCTGCGACTGCACAGGCGCCAGGCTCGGACCTCCAGCAGCCCTGCTTGCCTGCCGTCTGGCTCGCCCCCCTTTGCCTGGCCCCCCTGGACGTAGCTGCCTGTGGAAGGATGGAGGGGGTCAGCTTCACGGAGGTGGCAGGAGGCAGGCTGGACCCCGGAGGCCGCCCTCCCCAGGCCTCTAGCTGGAGGGCAGTGCAAGCCGGTGGACACGGGGGGCTGGGGGGGGGCGGGCAGGCCAGCCTCCTCTCCGGCGAAGCTGCTGGAAAGGGCTGGGAGGAGTGGCAGTTGCCCTGCGTTCAAGGTCTCTGTCACCTGCTAGAGCAGGGCCTCTGTTTGTCACCTTAGCTTGCCTCACAGGCTGATGTCTCCTTGGCTGTCCCCCCACCCCACCCCCGCCCCCGCCGGTATGTTTGGGTTGGAAGTAAGTCTTCACCTTGGGGATCCATGGGACACCTCCCATGCTTGTCATCATTTAATGGGAAAAGTACTTGTGGCCTCGGTACTGATAGAAGAGCCAGTCTGCCCTGTTTCTGAGGACAGTCTGCATCTGGGAAATGTTGGCAGGAGCTCAGCTCAGTTCAGAGAAGGCAGGGGAAGCAGGGTGCCTGGAGCCGCCTGCCTCGTGCCCACACAGCAGGCCTTTCTGGAAGGACAGGGAACCTTCCTTGCCTTTGTGTGTCCGCGGTCCGGCCTAGGGCAGGCACCCAAAATGTTCGCTGGAAAAATAAATGATGGGAGGAAGGGACCGCTTGGTGAGGCAAAGCCACCTGAGACCTCTTGTGAGAAAAGTCAGGGGAAACTCAGTGAGGCCAAAGGAAAGTCTTCAATTTCGCTTTATGTCAGGGGTTGTTGTGCTGAAGGCCTGGCACAATCACTTCCTCCCCAGGGCACTGCTACCCCTTGAGGGCAGTCCCAGCCAGCTGGGCAGAGGGGGCAGGGGAAGGGGAGCAGGCCGTTCTGGCATTTGGGTGGGCCGAGTCCCGAGTCCCTGAGGAGCCTGTGAAGCTGCCCCTCGCCCTGCATGCAGGACATGACAGTGTCCGCACTGCCCACGCCGTGGCGAGAATTTTGGGCGGAATGCATACCATCAGGTTTCTGAGCTCGAGAAGCTCCCCTCACAGGAAAGACCATTCCTGGACGGTTACTGCTGTGCCGCCCTTAAAACTGTGGTGCTGCGCTTGTACCGTTGAAAGTACAGGCTGTGGCCTGCTGTCTGCAGTGAGACGACCAGAATTCTTACACCATGTTGAACTTTTCTGTGTTGTTCCAGGGGTGGGCGGCTATTGAGTGGATAATTGAAAATTCTGAGCGCGCCGTGAGCTAACGGGGTCTGCCCCTGGACCTAATGCTGAACAGTGGTAACTATAGTACTCTTTAACCCCGTAGAGAACTTAGCATCTTGCTAATAAGTGTGTGCATGGTGTGCCGTGCTGGGTATTTAAAGGTACAGCTGCATGTGTCTCCAGCCCTGGGCTCCTTAGTATCTTCTGGAATGGAAACAGCCATTTCCTCTTCATTCTCTTCCTAATTCATCTCCTTGTTTCATGGCAGGATTTATTTCCCAGGGAGACTTGGATATTTGTTACCTGGTCTCTAAGAGAGGCTGTGCAGCCCCCCCCCCCAAGCTGTTCTCAGTACCTGCTTGCTTTAACATTTCCTAGAATTAGTGCATCATCAGGAAAGAGGCTTTCACTAGCAGTGCTGGACAGCATGGAGGACCCGATCAGATGGGAGGATTTTTTTCAGTTTGAGCAGGATCTGAATATTTGCACGTGTTCTCCTAGAGAATGCCCTGTGCCCTTGCGTCAGTGTTGTGGGGGCATGGGTGAAAGTCCTGCTCCTCACAGGCTGGCACCCAGCCATGTGACCACCACTGGCTCTTCTCTTTTAGTGGCAGAAGCCATTTCTAGCGTCTTCTTGAACTTCACAAACATTCCTTGGTTTCCTAGGCCACCAGTGGCTGGACTATCAGAAAGGGGTTTCACAGTTAGTTGGCAGTCATCTTCATACCTCATAGGAAAGTCAGAGAGTTTCCTGCTTCCCTCTGTTTAGGGAATCCTTATACTCCTGCCTTGAAACCCTCACCCTGTTGACTTTCCATCCTGTACTGCTCTGGGCCCTGCTTCCCATGGTTGGTCTGTCTGTCTGTCTGCAGCATGTGTGTACACACTCGGTGCCTCAGTCAGCAAATGGGAGCCATGTCGTTCAGGCTCCTTTAAGAACTTCCCACTGCAGCTTAAGTTTGCCAGAGACCTTCACCTTGAATCCAAAGTCATGATAGGATGCTGGGGCTCTCTTCCTCCATGGACGCACCACTAGGGTGACCACACATAGAGAGCCCGCCCATCTGGTGAACACAGTGTGTGTGGGCAGTGTGGCGTGTATGATGTGTCACTCTGAGCTGTGGACTCTGTCACCTTCTGTTTCCTCATAAACTGGAGCTAAACTGCCTCAATCTTTAATCAGATGCCTCACCCAAAAATCAAAGAAGAAAGAAAGAAAGAACAGAAGAAAAAAAGGAAGGAAGAAATAAGTGAACCTTGAATATGGTTCGCCCAGTCTGGGAGAGGTGTGGAATCTGCTGGAATCTGCCACTTGCCTGGTCACAGTGTCTACCGGGCTCTTCGGCCGAGACCACTCAAGACAGGAGGCCCATCTGTTGCAGAGTGAGACCCAAAGAAGGGAAGAACCCCCCCGCAGGAGGAGGGCAAGGGCCGGAAAGCTGCCATTCTGCCGCTGCCCACAAGCCAGCCGCCCCCGGGCCGGTGTTGTCAGACTGCTGTGGGGCCTTGTCTGTCTTCCCCGGGGCAGCAGCTCCCAGCAATTTTCTGCTGACTCTTGGGATCTTACTAAACAAGTTTACTCTCTCCTGATGACTCCCCATTTCCTTCCTATGCCTCTTGGCCAACTGCCGGCACTGTCAGTCTCTTCACACGTATCTGGCCACTCTCTGTCACTTCAGATGCTGTCGCCATGCATCCTTCTTCCTGCGGTTAATGCAGGTCTGCACATGCTAGACCACACACGGTGACGTGTGTGGTGACAGCACCGTGAGCTGTCCCATCACACAGTTGGAACTGGCCAAGGAAGCAAAGTGCTCTGCCTTCAGGCTGTGGCTGGGTTGTCCTGGGCTCCTGGACCAGTGACCCCAGGGGCTGAATGAGGGCTTGTTACTTGTCACCATTCAGACCTGTCCCTGAGGAGGCTCATGCACGTGGAGCCATTGTGAGGAGGTGGTCACAAAATGCTTGTGAGCTTGAGCTGTCCTATTAGCTTCTTAAGGTACTTCCCAGTGGGGAGTTTTAACTTCCCCCTTTTCAGAAGTAGACTATAAAACCTTTCAGTATGCTTCGAAATCTAAAAACTTTAGAGAAGGCCTCCTCCTTAAACGATGAGTAGAACTGTGTCTACCATTTTTTAGATAATGCTTTTTGTTTGATAATAGTACTTCTAATCCAAAATGAAATACTCATTTATATTTTTAACAGAATATTTTATGCTTAAGGGTGTATGAGTGGCTCAGTTGGTTGAGCATCTGCCTTTGGCTCAGGATGTAATCCCAGGGTCCTGGGATCGGGCTCCCTCCTCATCCGGGAGTCTGCTTCTCCCTCTCCCTGCTCACACACTCTCTCTCTCTCTCTGACAAAAAAAATAATAAAAAATGTTTTTTTTTTTTTTAAAAGAATATATTATAGCTCATGGTAAAACAGAGTTAAAGGATTTAAAATATTTAAATAATTTAAAATAACCTGCCCTAACTCCTTCTGCAAAGCACATTTCTACCCTTCTAAGGGGACGCTTGACACTTTTGGCAGTTTTTGGCTTTTACTGCTAGATTCCTAAGTAAGTATATCCTGCTATTTCTTCATTTGCCAATTTTATTTTATTTTATTTTTTTTCATTTGCCAATTTTAGACATTATCGAGATATTATTTACCTGTTTGGTAAACTATTATTTTCTCTCTGTCATCTCTTCCTCTCCTCTCCCATTCCCTCAAAATAGCTATATTATTGAAAGCACATTCAGAGTTTCCATAATTCTGAAAATACAAATACATAGCTATTGCTTGTCACCAGGCCATAACTGCATTTTCTTTTTTATACAGCTTTATTATACCCCTTAGGGATAATAATTGTCTTATTATTTTCACCTTATTATTTTCTTATTCATTTTTTAAAGGTCTCTGGCTGAGCCCTTGCACACCTCCACTCACTCTGCAGTACCTCATGATGTCATTTTCCATAGGTCAGTCTTTTGGGGTAACCCCTTCCCAGATTCCCAGGAACCGTCCTTTCTGGAAGTCAGGTTTTACTCTCTGACTGAGCAGCCATGTAGCTGTCATCCCCTTTTTTGAGCATTTCTGGGCATTTCCTTGACCCTCTTTCCTGGAGCCCTTTTTTTCCCTGCTTCCCTACTTCCTCTTTCTCTTTCCTGTCACAGGATGGAGAACATCTCATCATGGCTTCTAATACTTCGCACATCTGAAAATGTCACTTCTATTCTCATGGTTCATTCATAGCATACCTGGACATATAATTCCAAAACAAAATACTTCCCCTCAGAGTTTTGAAGGCATTGTTCTGTTGCGTTCCACTCTGATTATTGATCCTCTGTATGTGACTTCTTTTTTCTCTCTGAAAACTTTTAGGATCGCTTTATCCTTGATGTGAAATTTCATGCACTTAAGCCTCATTTGAAGTGAATTTTTAAAATTCATTGTGTTGCACTGTGCATGTTAAATTCCTAATTTTGATATTGTATTATAATTATGCAAAATGTTATTGGGGGAAGTGGGTAAAGGGTCAATGGGACATTTCTGTAATATCTTTGCAGCTTCTTGTGAATCTATAATTTCAATATTAAAAGTTAAAAAAATATAAATAGTAACATCATGGAAAATGGTAGAGGTAGGTGTTCCCAGGATTGGTCTCTCCACTGAAATAACCAATAAGCTGGCAAAAAATGACAGAATCAACTTTTGTAGGACTGTGAATTATAATAGAATACTTCAACCAAGAGAGCACTTAATGAATCTTGATTAATGCACTCTGAAGATTTTGGACTTGCCAGCCTCCATAATTATGTCAGCCAATTGCTTAAAATAATGTCTGTATATAGACACACATTCTATTGGTTCTGTTTCTCTGGAGAACCCTAATACATTATTAAAGCCAAATTTGTATCAATTCAAATTACATTTTTCTGACTTTAAGACACTAATTATAATCACCAGGGTAATCAGTAAGAAAATAATTAAGACATATCCAGAAAAGAAGCAGGAGGAATCAAAATGTACACTAGAAAAGAAAATCAAACACAACAGATGAGAATGGAAAGAATTCAGGAACAGAAAATTATGAAACTCACAGAAAACAATTAACAATGTAAGAAGTTAGTGCTTCTTTAGCATTAATTACTTTAAAAGTAAATAGATTAAACTCACCAATTAAAAGACAGAGATTGGCAGAATGGATGAAAAAACATGATCCTCCTATATATGCTGTCTACCAGAGACTCACTTTAGATACAAAGATATAAACAAATGGCTGGAATGTGAAAGGACTGAAAAAGATATTCCATGGAAATAATAACCAAGAGAGCTGGAATGACCATACTAATCTCAGACAACATCTACTTTGGGTCACAAATGATTACAAGAAAACAAGGACATTGTATATCAGTAAAAGGGTCAGTTCATCAAGAAGACAAAAGTTTTAACCATTTATACACCAAGCTCCAAAGCCCCCAAATATATAAAGTGAACAATAGCAGAACAAAGGGAGAAAGACAATTCTACAATAATAGCTGGAGACTTCAATAATCCACTTTCAATAATGGATAAGACATCTAGACAGAAGATCAATAAGGAAATGGAGGACTTGAATACTAAAAAAAAAAACTTGACCTAACAGACATCCATATAATACTTCATCCAATAGCACAATACACATTTTTCTCAAGAGCCCATGGATTATGTTCTAGGACAAACCATATATTAGGCCAGACACCAAGTCTCAATAAATTTAAGAAGACTGAAATCATACAAAGTATCTTTTGTGATCCCAGTGAAGTGAAATTAGAAATCAGCAGTACAATAAGGTAAATAAAGAAATATATAGAATTTTAAAACTATATTTCTAGTAACTAGTGAATCAAAGAAGTTACAAATGAAATTAAAACATTTTAAGATGAATGAAAATGAAAACACAACATATGAAAACTTAGAGGATGCAGTGAGAGCAGTTATCAGAGGGAAATACACAGTTGCAAATACCTCCATTAAAAAAGAGGAAAGATCTCAAATCATTTTTTATAGGAGAGCAAATTTTATTTTTTATTTTTAAGATTTTATTTATTTATTCGTGAGAGACACAGAGAGATAGAGAGGCAGAGACACAGGCAGAGGGAGAAGCAGGCTCCATGCAGGGAGCCTGATGTGGGACTTGATCCCAGGACCCCAGGATCATGCCCTGAGCTGAAGGTAGATGCTCAACCTCTGAGCCACCCAGGCATCCCAAGATCTCAAATCATTAACCTGACTTTAAGGAGCTGGAAAATGAAGAACAAACTAAACCCATGGCTTCAAATGGAAAGAAATGATAAAGATTACAGAGGAGATAAACAGAGAATAGAAAAAGAGAATTATTGAAATCAAAAGTTGTTAGGTTGAAAAAAATCAACAAAGTTCACAAACTTTTAGACTGATCAAGAATAAAAAGGATTCAAAATAAAAATATCAGAAATGAAAGTGGGGCATTACTACACATCTTACAAAAAATAAAAGGATATAAGAGAATACTGTGAACAATTGTATACCAACAAATTATATGACCTATATGTGACAAACTTAGAACCACACAAATTACCAAAACTGATTTAAGAAGAAATAGGATCTCGACAGGCCTATGACAGTCAAAGATATTGAATCAGTAATTGAAAACCTTCCAACCAAAGCCTCTGAGGGGGCAGCACAGGAAGAGCACCCTCCAGTTTGGTGTGACTGCAACTCAGGCAGGTGGGCTGAGGGCAGGCATGCAGCCTAACTGGTCCACTAACAACAGAGCCCAAACCCTGCCCAGTGAGCCCACAGCAGGCAAAGAGAGCCATTGCAAATGACTGAACTGAAGGCAAATGTGTCTCAGGCACACACAGCCCCCACAGGAGACATCCCTGAAGTGCCTGGTTCTGGTGAATGGGAAGGATTGTGCTGCAGGACATCACAGGTCCTCTTCTTCATGAGGCCACTACTTTTAAGATCAAGAGACGTAGCTGATTTTCCTACCCATAGAGACAAACGCAGTTAGACAAAATGAGGAGACAGAAAATATGTCCCCAGTGCAAGAACACAAAATCACAGCACAAGAGCTAAAGATAAGCAGTATGCCTGATAAAGAATTGAAAAGGAATGATTTTAAAAATTGTCACTGGACTTGAGAAAAGGGTAGTGGATCTCAGTGAGACCCTCAACAAGGAGATTGAAAATATAGGTATAACAAAAGAACCAACTAGAGATGAAGAACTCATTACCTGAAATAAGAAATACACCAGAGGGAATCAATGGCAGATTAGAGGAGGCAGAAGAACAAATTAGTGACTTGGAAGACAGGGTAATGGAAAGCAACCAAGCTGAATAGCAAAAAGAAAAATGAAGAAGAAAAAGTGAGAATAGATTAAGGGAACTCAGTGACATCAAGTGTAATAACATTCACATTATAGGGATCCCATAAGGAAAACAGAGAAGGGGATAAATTTATTTGAAGAAATAATACCTGAAAATTTCCCTAATCTGGAGAAGGAAACAGACATCCAGATCCAAGAAGTGAAAGTACCCAAGAAAATTGACCCAAGGAGGCCCACACCAAGACACCTAGTAATTAAAATGGTAAAAAGTAGTGATTGGGATTCCTGGGTGGCTCAGCGGTTTAGTGCCTGCCTTTGGCCCAGGGCATGATCCTGGAGTCTCAGGATCGAGTCCCACACCGGGCTTCCTGCATGGAGCCTGCTCCTCCCTCTGCCTCTCTTTCTCTCTCTCATGAATAAATAAATAAGATATATTTTTTTAAGTAGTGATAAAGAATGTTAAAAGCAGCAAGAAAAAAAATACAGTTACACACAAAGGAAACCCCATAAGGCTATCAACTGATTTTTTAGCAGAAACTTTGCAGGCCAGAAGGGAGTGGCGTGATATATTCAAGGTATAACCGTGAAACCAAGAACACTCTACCAAGCAAGGTTATCATTCAGAATAGAAGGAGCAATAAAGAGTTCCCAGACAAACAACAGAAGTTAAAAAGAATTCATCACTAAACCAGTCTTACAAGAAATGTTAAAGGGAATTCTTTGGGGGGAAAAGTCATAATTGGGAGTAGGAAAATTATGAAAGGAAAACACTTCACAAGTCAATGCAAACATGTAATAAAAGTAATAGATTAACCACTTATAAAACTAGTATGGAGTTTAAAGCAGAAAAGCAGTAAAGTCAATAATATCTACAAAAA